TAACGCAGTAACGCATCGTGTAGTAATGTTAACGCGTTAGCGTACTAGTTAGTGAAAAAAATACCACCGTTACAGTAACGCGTTAGTCCCAACACTGCACCCTCCTTGAAAATGTAGCCATTTAATTCTTGAAGTCAAAAAGATGAAAGACTCAAAGGGCCTCAAAAAACAAATCGATTCACAACTTATTACATTACAGAAGTGAACAAAAAATTTATCAAATCAGGAAACAGAACTTTCAAATTGGTGAACAAAAAATTTATCAAATCAGGAAACAGAACTTTCAAATTGTTTATGAGAATTATTTTCCAAAAATACAGTAATAATGGCATTTGTTAATGATTCCTTCTATCAAGTTAAAACAGTCTGCTTTTGTTTAAAAGAATAAAAACAGATTAAACTTAGTTGTCCATTTTGGTCCCATACCCACATATAACTGGTTCATCAAAGCAAACCCCAAACAAAAAAATGATTCCATTACAAATGATTCTTATAAACAATACATAGATATAGATCATTTTCACAAATTCTCAGTTGTAGTTCTACAATTGTTTTCGACCATGCTCCTTTCCTCTCAATTGCAGTCAATGGCATAACAGCACAACAATTGGCCCCTAAGCAACATTATCTGGGTGGACCCCATATGAAGTACAGCAACTCCCCCACCGCCAACCCACCCCCCTATAAGTAGACATGGAAATGGCAATTTTCACTCACCGTAGCAGCAATGTCCACCTCTCCCTCTTCGGTTCTTTGAAAGAATGTGTTTATTTTGGGAATTTTTTTTCGTTCTTCCAGCAGCTCTTCTTTGCTTTTTCTTTTCTGGAATACACTTAAGTAGCTCTTTTTGGTATCCATCGTCGCCAACACATTGTACGTAACGGTTATGGTTTAAATCTACACTCTGGGTTACCCACAATTCCAAGTCATAGTGTAAAATACTCAAATACATTGTTCTTTTAAGATCTTTATTGCGGTTTCAACCATATTATATGAGTGTATTTTTTACCAACCGTCTCATGAACTATACATAGTTATTTACATAGTAATTAAAAGTACCACTGTCTGCTTTTCTATTGGTGTCGTGTTTAAACGGCTCACCATCATGTTGAAATCTGGCATGTGTTGGGGTATAAATAAAGTCCGGTCAGTTAACCTAGTATCAGGTGGGTTTAAGTGAAATGTTTCGCAATAATCCATCTGCAAAGAGACGTTCTAGTCCACAATTGCGTAGGGGGCCTGCCAGGTATAAGTGAAGGGGCCCCTAAGAGGTTGGGGGCCCCTAAGCAACTGCAGTGTCTGCTTACAGATAGTTACGCCAATGTATGCAGTGCTTTGTGCAAAAGTTTCAGAAACAGTTGGCTGTTTCTTAGCTGAGGTTTGTTGGTTTGTTCAGGGTTGTTCGTTCCGGAGAGACTGGCATTTTTCACATTCAGCTGAATGCCTCTGTTTAAGATGTTGAAAGGGTTTATGGTGCTGCTGCCTGTAACTGCGACTGCCTTTATGTAAATGTTGCAGTGTGGGGTTTCATGCTCCATGTCTGTCACAGCAAACCCAAAAAAGTTCCAAACAGCAGATGATTTTACTCATTTTTTCAGGACTAACTTCCCACTCTGACAGGTGTCCTGCCAAGGTAGTTATCCCTGCGAAAATTGTGTCTACTCCTTTCTCTGAAAGCCAACAGCTCCCTGTTCGTTTCAACACGTTCCTTTAAAAAATCTCTCGTTTCATGGTGTCTAAATGTTCTCATCCCATTGGAAACTATTGTCAACCATATACTTGTAATAAAAAATGAAATAGAAAATGACTATTAAGACTATATCCAGCAGGTAAATTATTTTTTCCTATGTGACATTCAGTTCTTAAATCTATATTTGTTTTTTTTATATTAGCTTACAATTTCTTTATGTTGTACTATGCCTAATAAACAGTGTTTGTTCTGATATGAGGCATTTTATTTCATGCCCTATTGCCAGAATTGGTATCCTCTTCAACTCTTCACATCCAACATCTTATCAAGTCCATGTTTTAACAGGTCTAATAATTTTTCTCAATGGTTATGACCTACTGTTAAAAATGTACACAACTCTAAATTAGGTCTTATAATTATTTATTTTCTTGAGGGCAGTACAATATGAGAAAATATCCAATATGAATAAATTATTCATTCCACTTAAGAAAAACCCTAAGTGGATTCATCAGTTTCTCACTTAGCCCAGTTTCTTAACATAGGTGTATTCTTAGAGGGCAAAAATCATTCTCTGTACTTCTTGTTCCAGAGTCCGTAAACATAAAAAACCTGTACAACCAGGAATGATAAATGGTGTAAATGCTGCATATGGAACGAAACCAAACATTGACATCAGTGTAAAACATATCTACAAATAATAAAGTTATGATACTGCTCCATAAATGTATGTGCTTATCTCCAACAGTCTATGGGGGACTCTGGACATGTAGTCCATAGCAGGGCAATGTACAGCATGCAACCGTGTAACTATGTTTAAGAAAAAATCCATCTTGTCAATTATCTCGGCATTACGTTTTACTATACAAATATTGATTTCAAATAAGGCTGAATTAAAAAAAATCTGCATAGACCGATCAGGCTAATTCCTGTTAAGAAAATACTCAAACTGGGATGTTTTAAAAGCAGGAAAAATATATGTAAATGATTCAGAATAAAATGACCTCATATGCGGTGATGTAGGTACACAGGTTTGTTAAAAGGTATAATATAGAAATACCAAGGCACAACAATGATAGTGCAAATTAGAAAATGTGCAAAACAATCCAGAACTACCAATGTAGATCCATAACACAATCAAAACCATGATTCAATAAGATCTATCACTTCATCATGAGGAAAAGCTCTGTCTCATCTGTAACATTACTCAGGATAGATTGGTTACATGAACACACTGCAAATATTAATAATATCTAAATAAGTACATTTTTTCCTGAAATGGGAAGAGGGGGGTGAGACCCTTTGCCAATGGAACAAGACAATTTAGATTTTAAATAAGAAATACAATTACATTGTCCTATTTCAATTGCATATTGTCTAATTATGTTATACTAAGTGTAAAAATGCTCATTCCATTGGCAACTTATCTTATTTACCTGCTCAAAATAAGGGTAAACACAGTTAATTTAAGAAAATTTTACTTATTTCTAGATCATTTTGAAGCACATATATGACATGACATGTGCTACAAGTAATGTTTCTTGAAAACTTAAGTTGAGAATTTGTAAAACAAATCATGCACCATGGAAAAGTTTTTACTTACTTTTATCAAAGCTACAGCTGAGTTCATCTTGTATGTTTGTATCCTGACAGATAAAGATAAATGAATGCTTTTGCATACATTTATCTTTTTTCCACACCAACACAAACAGAAATGTCTCTAACTCCTCACTTAGATCTTCTAAACATATGAACAGAGAGAGAGAGAGATGTTTCTTATATAATTGATTACAGCATCAGTGTTTTGCTATGTACAGTTCAAAAGGTCTTTGCTGCACGGTCTAGGTTTGTAGCCTCCAGTGGGATCTGAAACAGAACGCAGTCCTTTAAAGTCATCTTGTTATGACTTAATGTGTTTTACCTGCTCCCTGTACCTGGAGGTTTAACAGGGTCCCAAGCAAACCCTTTTGGCTTTCCTGGCCTGTACAGATCAATATCTAGTCTCTTCTGTTCTTCCTCACTGCCGACTGTCTTGTAGTGAAGCAATGACATGGCTTCTTTACACACCTCCTGAACACGTTTGACCTTGTTGTGGGGGAGCGTTGTGCGCCAAGCTTGGGACACTTGAACAGCATCTCTGGAGTTAATCTGGAAAGCATTTTGTACCTTGACTTTTCCCTTTGGCTGGGTCATATTATTTATCCATGCTGCCATCTCATCAGTCATCTCTAAACCTACAAATTCATAAATATCCTGGATCTCCTGAAGCGGATTGCTTGTTACGTCTTCATAACGGACCAATTTGTATCTACCTCTTAGAAACGGAGGAGGGTTCTGGGTGGCACTTTGATTGATTCGGATGTGGCTTTGGCAGATTTCTTGCATGGCTTGATAATTCTCCTCGGCTTCTGGTACTTTTTTATGTTCTAAGACAATGGCATTATCAGTCTTGAATGCTAAGGCAGATTCTTCTTTAGACCGATACACAGCCCGAGGATCCCGGACAAGATGAATGATGCGAAGATCAAGGTTGGGGTCTTTAAGAAGAGGGTGAAGGGATTCCAGTTCAAAAAATCGAGTCTCTTT